AGTATTATAAATTTTGATATTTTTTAATTTTGCTTTTTTATAAATAATAATTTGGTGGAGCAAGGTTGTGGGTTGGTTGTATTAAAAACCAATAATGTTATGTACAAAGAGTTTTTTAATAATGTATGACTTTTTTATGACGAATATTTTAGATCAAGTGACAAATGCTCTACGTATTATACGTTATTGATTAATAACCTTCAATTTATAAATTTTACCAACACAAATACAGTCTGTGCATCGCACGGGTTACATACTAGTAATTATAAATTAATGAGTGAGTAAATAATATTAAATAATAATTATAAATTAAAAAAGTGAGGTTAACATGTGATATAATTTTTAATATAAATTATCTTGTCTAAGATAACATAAAACATGTATATTTAAACACCTAAAATATATATATAACATATATAAGATTATGTAAAATATTATATATTATTGGGTAAATTGCAATTTTGATACCCAAACTAAAGTTCATTTCAGAATCAGTATCCGTTTTTTAATATTTGCAAAATCAATACCCAAACTTTCATTTTGTTAGTAACTTTAGTACCCGGCTGTTAGATCTCCGTTAAATTTTTGTTAGTTGTTAACGAAAGTAGGCAAAATGGAGGAAATTTTCCTTTTTTTTGGCTCATGATGAAATCTATATACATATGACATTTGTACCATTTTTTTTCCAAAAAAAAAAAAATAAAAAAATGCAGCCTCCACTATTTATAAGAAAAAAATTGGATAAAGTCGATTTTTATTTAAAGAAAAATGTAATAAATCGAGAAAAATGAGAAGACATGGTTTCTCTTCTAGTTCAAGCAGTATATCTTGGAATAATAATTTTCCAATAACAAAAATATAAATTTCCTTCTATTTTGCCTACTTCCGTTAACAACTAATGAAAATTTAACGGAGATCTAACGGTCGGGTACTAACGTTGCTAACAGAATGAAAGTTTGGGTACTGATTTTGTAAATGTTAAAAAACGGGTACTGATTCTGAAATGAACTTTAGTTTAGGTATCAAAACTGCAATTTACCCTATATTATTCTTAAAAAAAAATGAATTCACCTAAATTATTTCTAAACTATTTTGTAATTGTTGGCGATCGAAATTGGTCAATGGTTAAATTTATATTTGGAATAAGTAAGTGCAAGAATAAAGGATGATTAAAGGATGATTTATGGGAAAAATAAGCTTTTTTATTACTTAATTACGAGGTCGGCCTCTGGATATGAGGTCGGCTTCTTCCTAACAGTTTGGGTAGTTACGAGAATTTATTACAATGCTGAGAGAGTAAATGTATAGAGAGAAGAAGTTGGTAGAGTAGAGATCAACAACCCTCATAAATGTGGAGGGTTTCCTATTTATAGTAACACCAATCTGGTATTGTTCATCCTGTCACTTCGCACAACAGCTCGGAATGACATGTCATCACCGCTCTGACAAACATTAAATGCGGTATGAGGTTAATCCAATGATTATTTGCCAGACATTAAATGCATACATGTGGGGGAATTTAATGTTGGTAGGCCGCCCTACAAACCTATACATGTAGTAGTGCTGCAGACTAGGGTGACGCGTCCCATCAACAATCTTCACTTGACAAGTTGTAATATTGTATAGTTTCCAAGCCCTGGATGCATGAGGGGGCTGATCCTATCGAATCTTCAGGTCGAATCCTCGACATAACTTGAGCTATCCCCATTTTCTGGTTGTCAAGGCCTTTCTTCTTTGATTCGGCACTCGTATAGGTCGACGTCGTCCCTCCGGCGCCCAAAATGCCGTTTTGAGAAGTTGTTCCACGCACTATTCTCAACAACTTTACTTTTAGTCTAGCCTAGTCTTTCTGCAATCCGAATGCCGATCTGGTTTTCAGGATCATTTTCGTCTGGGCTACTTTTCTCAGCCTGCGGGTCCCTCGTGGCTCTACTCGGATATATATATGTATATATATAATTTAATCTATACAATCTGTAAAAAACTTACCCGAAAAATATGTTTAAAAGTATATAAAATATTAGCAATTGCAAATTACTCAGACAAAGAATTTTAAATTCGAAATAACGAATTTTTAGACAAAATAAGTCAAACTTTGTGATTTACAAAAATGCATTTCAAATTGAACAAAATCCTTTGAGGTTTATATCTATAACACGTGTGCATTGGTGTTTTTAAATTTTAAAATGCATAAAAATTGATATGTTGAAGTCGCTATTTGAAATTTTAAGTGAACAAAGTTCTTAATTTAAGGAATGGTGGGCAAATCTATCCAAAATGATTGGAAAAGTCGGCCCAAAATTTTTAAAAAAATATTCACAGCCGCAATTTTCTATTTTAAATTGAACAATACCCAATTTTGAGGGGAGCATTAAATGCTGCCTTATTTTGTTGTAAAATGTCGGAAGCAAGGGGAAAACGAGTGCGGTCCCACGCACGTGAATCGCAGCATAACAAGGTGTGCCTAGATGAAGCACAAGCGAAATTCAATCCCAAAACCAATTTGTGGAAGGAGGAGTGTCCCACTAGGCTTATAAGTTAGGCCTATTTTTTTTCTTGTATAGACGATGTGAGACAACTCACAAGTGATGTTATATTTTAATAGAAAATACAAAATTAAAAAAAATCCTGATTAATTAGCATCTATTTAATTTTACTTGAAATTTTTGCCTACTATTTTTGATAAATAGTTATTCTCTTTATATATATAAATTTGTATCATTAATTACTTTGTAACAAAGTACCATTAAATAAAATATTATTTTTATGCTAGTATTCGACCTTGTGCATTTGTACATATATAAATAAAATATTATAAATTATTTGTATGTATATAATATTAAAATTTTAAGAATTTTAATATAATTTTTTAAGAATTATATTATCATTTTTTTAATTTTAATTGCTTTTCAATAGAGGTTACAAAAAAATAAAAAAATTAAAAAATCTAGAATACGTTACTATATGCAATAAACAAATAAGAAAACGCTATAATATATAATAACAATTAGTAATAACCAAAACGTTACCATATTAATAAATTAATAAGAACTTATCATATTTAGCTGAAAATGCATTTGGACGAGAAAATGCAGGGGCTTTAATTATTAAATATATATATATATATATATATATATATATATAGATATATTTGTCATGCCTAGATTTAGAAAACAAAAACAAGTTTAATTAGTGATGAGATTGGATCATCCGGGAAAAAATAAATATGGCACCTAAATTGACCAATGAATTTTGTGACATATACATGGCCTTAATAATTAACACTACTATAATACCTCTCACGTGCATGTCATTAATTACTACATTACTACCAACTATATACATTAAGAGCATCTCCAATGCTCTAATGTTGTTATAGAATTTTTTTTGACAAATGTCAAAAAATTAAATAGATTGTGAACCATGTAGGACAAATGTTGAGTTCACAACTATTAAATTAAAAATTCGTCTCCAACGCACAATGTTGCCTAATTACAATATTATCTACTTGCCAAATAATAAAATTTTAATATGATTTAATAAGATTAATTAAATAAATAAATAGTTTGAGAATGGTAATAATAATTCTCTCTTTTCTCCTCGTTGGCTATCTAGAGTGTGGAGTAGAATGTGGATTAACCACATTCTTCTCTACATTGTAGACATTAATTATGTCCACATCATCACAACATTTGTGATCACATTGTACATTGGAGAATGAAAAATTGTGATATTAATAAATATGTTGATGTGGAAGGTAATTTACCACTACAACATTGAGCATTGGAGATGCTCTAATATTGTTTGGTAAATAAGCGACACGTGAGAAAAACCACCTAAGTTTAGATAAATGTAAATCAATACTACCTCATGTTCATTATAAATGTCGTTTTGACTTTTGTGATTCATCCATTTTATTATATATCTAGACATTAATATGTCTAGATACATAACAAAATGGATGAATCAAA